GAAACTTTTGTGCCAGTAAAGTGAAGGTAGCAAACCATCCGCTTTGCGGGAGGTGGTGAGAAGCGCGTTGGCTCTGGGTCGAGCCCCCCTGCACCGGGTCGGGGTTGGGGGGAGACTGTTCTTGTTTTAGTGGACTCCATTCGGAATGAGCTCAGGAGTTCCTGTTTCCCACCCTGCTGCTTGGGCTACCTTGGGTACAGCATTAACTTCCATCTGTGACACTGGGTGCCAAGTTGGTATTCAGATGCAATAATGAGATGATGTATGAAAAGTCTTTTTTTATTTATTTACTTTTATTTATTTATTTATTTTTGCTTGTGCTGGGAATTGAACCTTGCACATCCATTCCCAGTGAAGGTGTGATTCCCGAAATTTCCTTCCAGGGGTCATAATCATTCTGCCCTTCCTTCCCCCCTTTGTCGACCTCTCCCTTTCCCACAGGCAGCCTCTACCTTGTTTTTCAGGATCTGGAGAATCATCCACTGATGGGTTTTGCCCAGGCCCCCCAAAAGTTGGAACTCTAGAGCTCTTTGAAGGAAAGGAATTGCCAAAGGAATCTTCCACGTGGGCACACACCAGGACCTGCAACTCGTGTGGTCCGTACAGGAGGACAAAGTGGGACTTGAGGATTTGGGGCCATGGCAGGGCCGAGCCTGCCCCTTCGTGTGGCCACGCTTCTGACGGGGCTGCTGGAATGTCTTGGCTTTGCGGGTGTCCTCTTTGGCTGGGCTTCGCTAGTGTTTGTCTTCAAAACAGAAGGTTACTTTAAGGAGCTCTGTGAAGCAGATGCTGGGCTCCTGAGCAACGCCACAGGGCAAGCCGGTAAGGACAGCGCTGGCTTTTCCAAGGACGCTGAGCCAGGTCCCCAGGAGGGTGGGAAGGGATAGGGAGGACTCTACCTCTGGCTCACCTTTCCAGCCTTTCCAGGGCAAGAGGAGTGTCAGCAAGTCCCCCTCTTGTCTAGGAGATGCAGGGGGCGGGAAGAACCAGCTTCCAAGGGGTGTCTTGGGGGCAGGAATCTTTAGGGACAGCTGCGTCTTAACCTAGCTTGAGGAAGAGCCTTCTGCCCCAGCGGGTGAGCTGTCCTGGAGGGAGGGGAGCCCGAACTGGGCACTCACCTAGCAGGGAGGCTGGGATGATGGGAGCTTGGCCCATGTGTCCTGGACTTCTGAGAACCCTTCTCTCCTCCAGACTGCAAAGCCCAGGACGAGAGGTTCTCTCTCATCTTCACCGTGGCCTCCTTCATGAACAACTTCATGACGCTGCCCACTGGCTACATCTTTGACCGTTTCAAGACCACCGTGGCCCGCCTCTTAGCCATGTAAGTCCAGAGGCCCAGCCTGGGCAGAGGCGAGTCAGAGGAATTCTTCACGCAGCTGCCTGGCTGGGAGGGAAACCCAGGTCAGGCGATGGGACAGTCCTGGCAGGCTCCTGAGCAGCAGCTGGCTGGCAGGATGTGTCTCTAGGCCCGCCCTCCTCCCCTGCACCCTCTCTAGCCTTTCCTCACCTCCTTCCCCTGGCTCCACAGAACAGTGTGTCTTTTTATCACCTGCTGAATTGAGCAGGAACCCCGGCTGACTTCCTGTGAGGTCTGGCCTGGGGTCAGGGTTACAAAATTAGCACACCCAAGATTGCTTCTCTGTGCCTCCCTTCACTCTGGGGACCCTTCTGTCACTCCTGAAAGTCCTCACACCAACTCAGCCTTGTTCTTTACCCTCCTCGCCCCGTGACTGTCCAGGGCTCCGTCACTGAGGTTTTCTGGGTGTCTGCAGTGGTGGGATTTCAGGTCCCCTCGGACTGGAGGGCGACAGGGGGTCTCCCTTTCAGGCAACAGGTGGGTCAGAGGGAGATGAATAGTTTGCTTCTGTCATTGGCTTCTGTGTTCGGATCTCTGTGCTCATGGCCAGGTTCCGTGATAAGCAGTGGTCTGCTGAGGGCTGATAGGACCCAGAGCAGCACCCCAGGGAGGCTTGTGTGGGCTCAGCTGTCAAAGAGAAGGATGGGGGGCTGGGGATGTGGCTCGAGTGGTAGTGTGCTTGTCTGGCATGTGCGGGGCGCTGGGTTCTATCCTCAGCACCACATAAAATAAAGATGTTGTGTCCACTGAAAACAAACAAAAAAATAAATATTAAAAAATTCTCACTCTCTCTCTTAAAAAAAAAAAAACTATTTAAAGAGAAGGATGGGGGAGCCGTGGACCTGGGCCAGGACATATTCAGAGAGGGAAGCAAGTCCTGTTCACTTAAGCCTTTGGATGAATAAAGACTGTATTTCAGTTTTTCTTCGTCTTTGATTCTCCATCTTTCATCTTCTCTAACCTCCTTCTTTGCCCTTTCCTTCTTCTCTGTCTTTAGGGTTCTGCTTTTAGTACTTCATTCTTTATAAGATCTTCAACTTGCCAAGGGATCCCTAAAACCTTGGGATTGTCCTTCTGAAATCATTGCATTCTAGAACCTTAAGCTCGGAGTCTAGGTCAGTCTGATTCTTGCCCTTTGCAGAAGAAACTACTTGAGGCCCAGAGAAGGAAAGCGGCTTGCCCAAAGTCACACAGTAGGGAGGAATTGGAACACAAGGTGTTGATTTACAGACTAATCACTCACCTGCTTTTCCAAGGGTTTGCCTCTGGGAACTTCCAGGTGAGAGAGCCTGGGCTCTGTCTAGTCTGCTCCTGGCTAAGTCCTGAGCCCATCCTGTTCTCAACAGAACTCATTATCCAAGACTCCCTATGCACAGTCTGTGAGTCAGGATCCCATCTTCTCACTGGGCTTCTCATACCTGGTACTGAGCCTCCGAGGTGGCATCCGTGCCCCTTGAATTTCCAGAATTGAATTCCCAGGTTGAGGATGCAGCATGCTTCTAGGCCTGGAGGGGAGGGGAGCAGAGGCCTGTTCTGTCTCTAGACTTTCTCCTTCCTTGACGGTGTTCTTTTCTGTCTTTCAGATTTTTCTATACCAGTGCCACTCTGACCATAGCCTTCACCTCTGCAGGTGAGTCACGTTAGGTGGGAGGAGGGACAAAGACGAGGGGCACTGATAGATGGGCCAGGTGCAGAGGGTGTCAGCCAGAGCCCAAGCACCCCGGGGTTATTCAGAGATCAGCTGGCAAGAGTCCCTCAGTGATAGCGAGGTTTTTTTGCTGGTTTGTGAACACAGCTTAGTCTTCCGAGAAAATGTGAGAAGGAAGGGCAATGGAAGTGGGCTGCTTCAGAGAGGATTTATTCAAGGGATTATTTCCTTCTTGGAGGTGTAAAAATGATCTCTCTTTCTTTTTTTTTTTTTAAAAAAAATCAAATGATAATATGAATGAGTTTTGAAAGTATCCTTACTTAGCAGGATAAAAGTTGACAACTCTATTATACTCAAAAGCTTCTTATTTTTCAAATATTCCCCTTTATTGAAATCTATGAATCCCAACTAGGTTTATCCATCCTGCCTCCTTTATGAAGAAGAGCCAACTGAGGCCGGAGAGGGACCCTTGGCAAAGACTTGCTCCAGAGTTGGTGGGAGGCGGGCCTGGGGGGGCGGGCTCCTGACCCTCCTGTGCTAGCTCCCTGGTTATTCTGGCTGGGAGATGCCTCCCCTTATTCCTCCCCAGGCTCAGATGGAGTGGCTCAGTTTTGGGGTTAGGAATTCAAGGCATAGTACATAAGCGGGTTCTATACCGGAGATGATGTCAAGGGTGGTCTGCATTCATGCTGAGCAACCTCGGAGATCCAAACAGATCTTGGGAGATAGCCTGGCACCTCTCAGGCCAAAGACTTCAAACTGTGCTCCTTATCAAACGGGCCTCAGGTAATCGAAAGCCTGTCAATAATTGTCAAGTAGCCGGATGTGGCTGGCTCGCGTTTGATTCACCATTGTGAATCGTTTGAGCAACTCTTCCCCCTCTTCCTCCATTAAAAAAAAAAAAAAAAAAAAAATGGGACTTTTTGATCTGGAAAAGGCCTGGAAGCCACAATGACTCTTGTGAAAGCAGTCTCTGCCCACCTTTAGTTCATTAGGAGACATGGACGTTTTTTATAAGTACAGAAATTGAAATGGTAAACAGCATGAATGCTCTAAAATTAGCCCAGTTCAGGGCTTCTCAGGTTACACATAGTAGTTACTCAAAAGGATCTTAGCCCCAGCACACGACACACACACACACACACACACACACACACACAGAGATATTAGGAGCCCAGACAACTTCATTAACAAACATTGAGTCACCTGCTGGATCAGTGATTTTATTTCTCTTTCAGTCGTTTTGTTTCCTTGGGGCTAGTCTAACACACTGAGGACAGGAGCAGGAGCTGTTCGATGACATTGTTTTTCTTTGTTGTATTTAATTTTGCATTTACACTCCCATTCATAACCAGGGAGCAAGGGTTTCTACTTACAATGGTGACACAAAGTATCTCTCTCCTTTTTTTTTTTTTGTGTATGTGTGTGGTGCTGGGGATTGAACCCAGGGCCTTGTGCATGCGAGGCAAACACTCTACCAACTGAGCTGTATCCCCAGCCCTAGAAAGGGTCTCTTCCAGTGGTTTTCTTTTGGATAAAAGTGGGTCAAATTAAAGAAAATAGTTTCTTTCTTTGTGGGGCTGGGGATGGAACCCTGGGTATTGCTCAGGCTAAGCATGGGTTCTGCCCTCCCCCATCCCCTAAAGAAAACATTTTAACAAACAACAGGACAGGCAGAGGTTATGGCCAAAATCGTAAAGGAGGGCAGAAGTCTGTGGTTTGGGAAAGACGAACTTACCAAGAGTTCCTTCGGCCCTGGCCCTTGTTTTGCAATGACTCAGTGCTTACCAGGCCTGTCTTAGCAATCTATCTGCTTGCAGCCAGTCTTTTCAAGTGCAAGAGGCATGCTTTACTATCTGGCACTTCCAATGCCAGGGACCACGCCTGACATGAAGGAATAGCTTTGAAGTTCAGGGACAGAGGAAAGACCGTGGCCGCGTTCTCAATCGGATCTCCCAGCACCCTCATGAGGCAGGAAAAGTAGAGACTGTTGTTCCCATGGAACAGATGAGGTGACTGAGGCACAGACCCAGAAAAACAGCTCAAGGTTGTGGTCATGCAGTGAATTAGAGACTGGGCTTTCAGGGACGGGTGGACTGAGTCTGATGTCCTCTTCCCTCATAGTGTGTGTGTGTGGGGGGTGAAGAGGCAGGGGGTGCTTGTGGTTTGCCACAGACCTAAACCCATCTGTAGTGGGAAAAAGGTAACTCTGCAGACACAGCTGGGAAAATCTGTACCCTAAGACCCTTGAGGGAGGCTAGAAGCTGGGGAGAACTGGGTCCAGGGCTGGATCTAGGGCTTCCTGGAGGAGAGGGGAGGACGTGCTGGCATTTGGGGGTCATCTTTGGGTTGCCGCAGCATCAGCCCACCTCTGACTTTGATGGTTCTAGACTCGGCTGTGTTGCTCTTCCTGGCCATGCCCATGCTCACCGTCGGGGGAATCCTGTTCCTCATCACCAACCTGCAGGTGTGGGTCTGTCGAGTGTCAGGGGTTGGGATGAGGGACGGAAGGCACTTTTCCACAGTTGGCTGCTTCTGATGGGGTTGGCCCAAGCCGGGGTGGGGGGAGCTCTTGGGGTGGAGGGTGGTGTCGGGTCTGTGTGGCTGGTGCTTGCTGGACACTCAAGATAGAGTTGTTCCACGAGGAGACGGGTGGTCCAGACTTGTTGTGTCTTCTCTAGATTGGGAACCTGTTTGGCAAACACCGTTCTACCATCATCACCCTCTACAACGGAGCATTTGACTCTTCCTCTGCAATCTTCCTATTCATTAAGGTAAATAATAGCAGAATTTGGTATTCTTTTTTTTTTTTTTTTTTAAATTTGTTCTAATTAGCTATACATGACGGTAGAATGCATTTTTGACATATCATACATAAATAGGATAAAACTTCTCATTCTTCTGCTTGTACGT